TTCAGTGTTTACAATGGCCAAGAAGTGGTCTCTGAACATCTATGACCGCTTTACAGCATTCCACATGCTCCTTCTGAAAGATCTGATTAAGTTCATGCTGGTAGAATCTAAACAGGAGAACTGATTCCTTTCCTACTTGCTTCTGAAGCCTATGGAGGCTTCACATGCACTACTAAATGGTATATACGATCATAACTAAGAAACATCAGCTGTTTCACTATACATATATTGTGGAGGTGGGCACTCTACTCAGTCACAAGATAAACATGTCAAGGCCAACTGCAGGACAACAAAAAACATCACACAGACCTTGCTACCTGCCTTGTAGTAAAAATTACACATTTCTTGTCTCTCCTTGTACTTCTTACTGCTCCTTGATAGCCTCACTGTTTAAAACCAACCAACAAACAACAGAAACAGAACCACCCCCAAAACACCCCAACCCCAAAATCACAACAGCAAAACCCAAAATGTACCTTTTGGAGGACAGAGCCTATGATAACCATGCACTGAAGTGGATGCACTGCTGTTCTGAGCAAATAAACGCAGATGTCTGGAAATAGTTCCACACCTTTCTCTAGTTTTGGATGCACATAGCTTATATGAACAGTTAAGGGAGAGAGAGGAAGGGAGGTATAAATAAATATTATAGGTAACATTTATGTATTGTGGAGAAAGTTTTTGCACACCATAAACTGGGATTTTTTTCCCCTCTCACAAATTAGTACCACTCTTCTTCCCTATGCTACTAACCCTCCTAACACATGAAAACATTTTCAGTTCGGAACCTTGGCTTTTTTATCAACCAACCAAGCAGCGTGTTTCATTTCCCTTCCAACTCAGTGACTCAAAGAAATTGCAGTCGTAGGATAACAGTCTGAAATTCCAACAGTCTAGAATTATAATCAGTAATAGATTTATGCACTAATGAAGGTATCTGCTAGGTTGTGACTTAGTCCTCAGAGAGGTTTAGGAAATACTCATCACTCTACTGGGTGATGGAACAGACTAAGCCTCTTAGTCAATGGGGGGAATTTAGGATTACAATGTCTGTGTTCAGATAAAAACAGGGTCTGTATGAGAAAAACTGTGGAATTCCACCAGACCTGAGGAGTTCCATGAGAGACTGAGGAAAAAAAGATGATTTTTGGACAATTTTTGGAAAAGATGCAGCTCATACGTGTATCAGAAGCTTTGAGTACAGCACCTGGGCTAACTCCATGGTGGGTATGAAAAGGCACATGCTTGAAAGCTCTGAGATTCCTCATACCAGGAGCAGTGTTATCATTCCACCAGATGCACTGCTTGAACTATGCAAGTTTATTTAGGTTGTTCAGAAAAGATGGAAAACAAGACATCACGTCTTTCCGTCAGTACATGGACAAGGATTAGAGACAATCTGTCCTTGTTCCCCAGACTGTGTTGCCTTCTGCTGCAACACAGAGCCCATTTGTGAGGGCACATTTTCTGCAAAGCTCTATCTATGCTTTGGCCAGGGCTGAGGAAGGGGCAGCTCCTCATGTCCAGCCTGAGGGGTGGAGTGACAGGGGCGGTGAGCCAGAGTTCAGTCCTCTGGCAAAGAGCTTGTTATGGTTTTGTTACTTCTGCATACAAAGGGACTTCAATTAGCTGCATGCTGTCTAAGATAAGAGAGCCTTTATAAGCTTCCAAATGGCCTACAAATAGTGCTTCTGTTCCTCCACTGATGTGTGGGACTCTCCAGCAGGACATACAATGGCTATTGTGTTACTCAGAAAGTTCTATCTGGAGCCTGCTTTTTCATGGGCTATTTATAAATCTAGCCAATTTACAGACTGCTCAAGTTTGCCTTTAGAAACAAGGTGTCTTTCAAAAGGTAATTCAGAATGAACTGCAAGGGTGCTGCATTACTTGCAAGCTATGTAAAGTGAGGAAAAGGGCAGTGAAACCATGGCAGGAAGCGATCACTAGAGCAGCAGCACTGACACAGAAGGACAGCATGCCTGGACAAAGACTGAAGGAGCTTAAACTTGCTCCCATCTGAGAAAGAACAAGGCTCTGGAAAGGAATCCTGCTCTTTCTAGGGGGCACAGGCAGGATGGCTTAAAGAAACCTATGGGGAGTAGGAAGAGGTAGAGCACAGATAATGAAAGGGAGACAAATCAATCATAGAATGGTTGGGTTGGAAGGGACCTTAAAGGCTAACTGGTTCCAACCCCCTGCCACTAGACCAGGTTCTTCCAAACCCTGTCCAACCTGGCCTTGAAACGTAACACTGATACATAACAGCACTGGACTGACTTTTCCTAACAAACTGCTTTCCCCTGGAAAGAAAACGAAGATTTCTAGGGCTAACAGAGCACCATTTTATACAGGGTTTTGTCAGGCTTCAGTGAGGATAGTGCCCTTCACTTCAATAAACAGTTTAAGAATTAGATGAATTCAAGATACAAAGTATACAGTTTATAACAAGAATTATTTACAAAAGAACAGATAATTTTATCACTTTTGTATACATAAGAACTGGATGTCACTGTAATTCTTGACTACAGAATACACAAAAGCATGTACTATTCTTTTAAAAAGTATACTCTTACAAAACCACAGTAGTTCTCCCTTGATACTGTATGTGCTAACAACAATGAAATCTATTCTCTCCAAGGAAGTGGGGAGGAAATAAGATAGCAATATATCTAGAAAATTGGTAGCCAGATGTTACAGCATCCTTGGAACTAACTTGGAATACAGGCAAGCAGCAAAGCTGAGATGCAGAACAAAACAATACTGAATTCAAGGGTGAGCTGAACTGAGACAAAAGAGACAGTATCTTAACAGCAGAAATAAGAGTCCATGACTCCAAAGTCCTCAATCTGTTGAAAATCTCCGGAGAAGTCAGTATGTTTCCCAACTTCTGCCAAAAGAAAACCCATGACAGCATTTAAAAGAAAAGTAAGGCTCAAAAGAAAGTACTGAAAATTGGGGCAGTAAGAATTCTTCCAAAGTCTGTTAAGAGTCACCTTTGTCACATGGCATTGGAGGAGCCTCAACCACAGGAACAGCTGCTTCTGTTCCCTTCAGATTCTTGGCCTTATTCAACACACAAAACACGATGCTCTTGCTCTAGCCACACATTAAGGATTGATAGCACAAGCAATGAGAAGACGTCTTCTTCACTTCTTGCCGAAGTCAGAAGACACAGAAGCAAGTAAATACAGTAAACAGATACTTACTGTAGATGCAGACAATAAATAAAGTAGAATAGTGAAGGGAAAAGAGAAAAAAAATATATATAAAGTAGGATTCTAATAGTGCCTCTGGCAACAGAAGTTTCTGTGCTCCGCTGGGAAAGTCACCCAACTAACATTTCTTAGAGGTGCTTATTGCATGTTTACTACTGACCCACCTCATACCCCTTTAACCTTAGTCTCAAAGTACATTATGTTTGTGCCTAAAAGCAAAGCCATGGACAGCTGAGCACTGAACCTGTAGCATTCAGTACATCTTAAGCATGATTTTTAAAGGGATATTCAAAGGGAGAATAACTTGCTTTGGTCTAAGCTAGAGTAATTATTTTTAGTGTCCCATTAATTGAGTACAACCAGCATTTGAGAGATGACAGCATTTGGAACTAAGCAGGAGAATCACCAACAAAATAGAAAAATACACTCAAAGCCACACAGTTTTGCAGGGCTAATTCTTAGCAACATCAATGGAAACCATTCAACAACCAAGTGTTCAGTAGATGAACCCAGTGTACGCAACCTGTAATTGATTTGCTGAAGCAGCCTTCAGAAAGAACTCTACTACTAATTATTTAAGAGTTGAGAGAATAAAGGGCAAAGCCACAGCAACTGAGCCATAAAGAATGTCTTGAACTGGGTAGAAGCCTGCTTTATTATTTTATGCTGTGTTGACGTTATTTGCTTTTGACAGCTATTAAATGAGGCAAATGAAACAAGAAGTGCTGAACTCCAAAGTTAAAACCACAACAATCGCTGTTATTGCATCAAAATCCACCATCACATTTATTGGAAACTCTACTATTAAGATCCTGCCTGAAAAGGCTAGAACTATACTATATAAACTATACAGTACTATAACTATAGAACTGTAACTATAGAACTACATATACATATTAATTGTCATCTGAACATCTTCTAAGGCATACCACTTAACTGAATGCCTGTGATTTGTATTCAGGTTTTAAATAAATCATGTTAGCTTCCTTCAACATCCAGCACTTTCTGATGCAGGCACCTGGAATACTATTATTTTAGCTTCCTGCTTTAGAATAGTTTTGCACAGAAAAGGGGGTGGCTAACAACAGCTTTGCTGCTGTTTTTAGCAGCAAAGAGTTAAGGCCTGAAAGAAAAATAATAATAAAATGCATAGCTAAATCCCATTAAATCTTGAACCACATAATCATCTATTATCAATTACTTTTCCATGCTGGCTCATTTATAAACTTTATTGTGACAAAAAAACCCTTTGGAACATTCATTCCTTTGATTAATGACCTACTTGACTTGAGCATAGCTACTGCCAAGCTCTATTGTCAGCTTCGCTTGCCTAGAAGGACAGCAACATGGGTACCACCCCTCTTCCCTCAGATGGAGACAAAGCCTAGTAACAACCATAAAAAACTCAAGTCTCTTGACAGTACCACTTTGATATATCAAACATCAGCAGAGACATCATGGAACAATGACACCATGCAAACAACAAGAGCAGGATAGCATCAAACACTGAGTTGCATTTCCTCTTATCGCCATGACACAACTGCCTGATTGCTCCATGCCAATTTTTGACACTGAACATGGGACTCCCTTGGATAATTCTTCATTGTTTACTTCTTTTTTTTGATGTGATTAAAATAGCACAGCTGAGTTCTATTTCTCCAACTTGCACATGTCTAAATTCATCAGGCCTATGTCCCACTTATAAAGGAATAACCACAACTGTGTTAGTTGCTTTCATGCTCAGTTCAGTTTCAAATTACTTAAGATGTAGGGGTATCTTACCAGGGTTGGTACCAGTTCTGTACACCTCAGATGGGCTGCTGACCTTATGGCTGGCGGGAATATGCTGGTGGTACAGTGGAGGTGTTTTTACTAGGAGAGAAGGAAAAGCACAATTCCTCTTCAGTAACAGCTAAAATGTTAATAGTGCTATTAAAATAAATGGAGACAGACATTCCTTACCATACGGTGTCTCTGGTGACAGGGGAAAAGCTGGTGTGGATGGGACAAGTTCATTTCCATTTTTTGTTGGGGAGAAGATTCCCCCATCTATTTCATCTTGGTAACAAGCAACAGCCATCTAGAAAGGGCACAACAAAGGCAAAACTACAGTGTGAAAATTCCCACTGAAGACTACAACACAGTGAGGCATTTTTCACGAGATGACAGGAGGTTTCCTATAATCCGACCTACTGTTCCAGAAGACAGATCTTGGAAAACTGAAAAACATGCATAAAAACTGAAAACAGAGAGGACAAGAGCAGGACATCCTCAAACACTGCAAGGGCATTTCTGAGGTCGCTACTGTCATTTGTTCTTCTTATTGCCACAGTGCAACTGCCAAATAGTTTCACACAGAATCTGGACATTGAGCATGAACATGGGATTCCCCACTGGACATCTGGTTCAATAATAAGTATTCCTTGAAAAATTCTTCATGGTTTACCTCATTAGTCTCCCCTAAAGGAATCGGTGATCCTGGGTTTACAGCCTGGTCTGCAGCAGGAGACTTCATCCATCCACACCTGGTATACGACGGCTGCCCAGGGACATCGTTGTCATACTGCCCAACACTTAACTTTCTCATCCTTCTCCCTGTTGCATTGTCATCTGGTGTCCCTGGTGCTGAAAACAAACAGGTAAACTGATTAATAACCTCTGTTTTAATTAGAGCTGTTAAAACAAACTTCACCATTGTACCTTCAGTGGTTCTGTTCAAGGATGCTCATGAAATAACTGGTTTCGTAACTGCTTTACAAAACCACACAGGTGGGGAAACAAAACAATCAGTCGTAGTCAGTCTTGCTGGCACAAGTTAGAACACATTCGCAGTACACCTGGCTCCAGACGAATAACGCAGCATCCTGCTTCATTTTTGGAAGAGATTAATCTCGGTGCCCCCGTTAGGGCCTGCCAGCAGGCGCCGCTATGGGCAGCCAAATGGGAAACCTCATCCCGAATACCCGGCAGCAAAACGATTGCTGTTTTCTAGGACTGCATTTCTCCTGAAAAAAAAAACCAACTTCTTTTTAGCTAACACACACTCCAGCCCTTCCTTATAAACACAGCTCACTGTGTACCTTGTGTGTCACACATGGCAATCACACTTAATCACAAAATTAGGTATCAGACACACACAGGAGCTGTACTGTAACCTGCTGGAGCCTGAGGAATAAGCACAGGAGTAAGCTGAGCCAGCAGAACAGTTGAGGATATTCAGGGGCATAAAGCAGTATTTGTTTCCAAAGTCACTAGATTGCCACTAGATGTAGCTTTATGATTAGCAAGGCTTTATACAGTCATCCAGTCCCACCAACAAACACTTTGAGAATATCCCTGCAGCAACTGCTTTTTCCACCCTTCTCAGTAAGAATAAGCGAACAAGAAGCATCCCACAGTAGTCTTTCCTGCGTACAGGACAGTACAAACACAACTGCGTGCCTAGCAACTTCTCAGATACTCATTCCACCTGAAAGGTTCTAGCCAGAGGAAAAGGGGCTAAATAATGTTTAAAATATGGAGGCTTAAAAAGTATTTTCACTTTCCAAGTTGTACCATAAAAGCCATCTCAGCTGTGTCTTTTACAGGATGTGCTAGGTATATTTATATTGACTCCATAAAAGAAATAACTGGCTACATTTGGACCCTGAAATTTAACCCTATTGGTGGAATTTTCCAGAGTGACTAGTAGGATTTTATTTAGTTCTTGGCTTTAGTAGTGGTTACTGCCATACTGGCTTTAACAGCAGCAGAGATGGATTTCTGAAAGTGTCTAATCCTGTAGTTTTGCAAGAGATTTATTAATATTTTTAGGATAAGCCACTACTTACCATCAAGTTATTCTGCAAACCTTGTCTGTATTTTAATCTCAAATCTGTTTTCCTATATAGAAACCTATTTGAGCATTGATACCTTATAATTGTGCTATATAACCAAGGTGAAATGTCTGTAATACCTGCACTTAACGTTGCATGACAGGTTTTACACTTTGGCTTCTGTCAGTACTTCAGGATAGGAAATGGGCACGTGTGGAAGATGTCCATATCATCTTTCCCTACCAAAGTGTCTGGTTCAGCCCTCCTGCTGAGTTAGATGAATGGCACACTGGACTCCTGCTGCTCCATGATGGGGATGTGTAGGAGATGTGCTTAATCAACACATACTTAAGAGTTGGAAAGGATTTTAAGAGTTTAAATGACACCAAGCAACGAAAGTAAGCTCTTTCAGAAATCCTCTTTTAAGAGAAATAGCTAATTCTCAAAGATCTTTTTGCATGTATAGACAATAAAAACTCTCAGAGGACTTTTCCTTAGTTTATTAGTTTTGCTAATATACTTCAGAGCTGCCTCACTTAATGTTAACAGATGTTTAGAGTTACTAATTTAAAAGGTATTTTTTACAGTGTAAAGCTTCAGGAGCCAAGACTTCCTAGAAGTCACATAATTTGGGTTTGTTCTTGCAGTTTAGCTTTAAGTTTTGGCACAGCTTCATAAATATCCCAGGAGCACATATTTATTTCTCTGAAAGCATTTTGTAAACTCTCATTTCTGTCTTCTTCCCTTGTGAACTACAACAATGGATCTGTTTCCCCTGCAGAACAAATAACAACATTCAAACAGATTGGTATTGGAACAGCATCAGGCCTTTATCTTGTCAGATGGTTATCACCATGCCATTGCTACAGCTAACAGAAGCACAGCCAGTGGTTAAAGGTTAATCTCTGTTTGGTTTCTTTAGCTGCTTAGCTTTCCTGGAGTACTACTGAGAAGTATCTGTAACTATTAGAAAGAAAACACCACTAAGCTCAAAATCTTGTCTGCAGTGGCATGTCAACAGTGCTCCATCTCATGTATTAACTGTTGTCCTGGCTAAACTTCAAAAACTATTCTGTTAAATCCTGATGTATTCTGCATGTTTCTACATACTGAGTGCATGAGGCACACCATTAAAAGGTCCATGTCTATATGCAGTTACCACAACTACTAGTAAGATGAGGCTTACATGTTCCCACTTGATGCCCAGGGCTTGTGGGCTAGCCTCAGACTCAGCTTTATGTGAGAGTGGGGCAAGCATAGTCTATGCGGTAGGGCTCTCTATGGGAAGAACTTCTCTTGTGGAGGTGGAAACCCAGCTGGACTGATATCCCTTCTTCCCATTATTGAAGTCAACTATCAGTTTTTCCCAAACCCAGCAGAGTCCATTAAACGCCTTTCCTTGACTTCTACCTAGTTTATATCGTAGCCAACTGAGCAAATTACAGTCAAACTGGAACCCCCTTACAACAGATAATTATAAACCAAAGTTAGCCAGAAATATGGAAGTTTCAGCATCTTTTTGTTTGCGTATATATAAAGAGGCTCTAAATGAATTTGTGCACTTTTGTGCACGAAGAGGAGCAGTCAACTTTAAAGATCTGGGTATTACTCAGGCCACTCGGCTGCCCTTCTATTCCCCTGCTTGGTTTTTCTTGATAGAGCCTTTTTATTTATTTTTTTTCTAAGCAAAACCAATGTACTAGCTATAAAAAAAGACTTACAGAAACGTGTGGCGCCGGGACCAAAGCTGAACACAGTACTCCAGGTGGCCTCACTAGCACAGAATAGAGTGGGACAATGCATATCTTCATTACATACACTGAAGTGAGTGCAAAGTCATTAAAAATCTTGTCAAAATATGAAATATAAACAAAATAATGGCACAGGACCACAAGCGATGTGGAGAGTTCTGGCCTTCAGCATCCTGCTTGACTAAAAACCCCTACTAAGCTGCAGCCAGATTTCAGTGTGAACTCTGCCTCTTTTTAGTTACAGTAGCATAAGAATACTATGCCAAAAAAAAACCAAAACAAACCAAAACATCCAAAATATTTAAAAGTCCCATGAAGATGTAAGGTTTGCACATTCTGTTCCATAACCCAGTTGAATCAATCATAACATGTCTCTGTAGAAACTCCATCAACTTGGCCACCAAGTAACATTTATCTGCGGCTACATATATTGATACAGCAAATGTGAAAGTCACAGTTTAGAGTTGTAAAATCAAGATATGGACTAGTTTTCAGACGCTGGCCTCACAATATCTGTACTGGCTACACAGCTACAGTGATCCCACGTTTTTCTAACTGCTGGCTTTGGTTTAAAGGTGTTTACAAAAAATCCATATCACTTACAAATGACTAAACATATCCTTGTACAGCCAAAGAAGCTGTAAGGCCTCCTACAATGCAACAAACCAACTTACCTTGCAGTATGGGTGCAAGAAATTCCTACCTGTAACTACCAAGTGAACTCAGGATTTATAAACCAACTAACATTACTGTACAAATTTGCACAGTGAGGGGGAATGAAAACTGGCTGAACAGCTTGACCCAGAGATGCCAGGTCTAGCGGGAGGCCAGTAACCAGTGTACCCTAGATGTCCATACTGCGGCCAGTCAGCACGAAGTTGAACATGAGCCAGCAACTGTGTGTTTGTGGCAAAGTTTAAAAACTGGAATTTAGTTGAAACTCCAGTTTTGACTTAAAACCTCAGGTTTCAACTGTAGTTTAGCTAAAACCTCTATTTAAACTTCCTGTTAACCACTGTAAAATTAACTCCAAGTCAGGTACCAACATTTTCCTGTGTGGTGGAAACTACAACAGGTTTTGTAGTGTTGTCAGCACATGCAAATAAGGCACATGAGGATGTGGACAAGCTTTGTTCTCCTGTTAGCTTACAGCTTATTTCAGATGGCCTGGGTTTGCTCTCCCACAGAGTATCAGAGAGTGAATGGGAACATCTGTAACAGTTCAATGCTTTTAAAAACTCTTATTTAATAAAGTATGCAAAAAGGGTTACTTCCAATCTCCTTTGTCTGCAGATACAGTGCAGCATGAGTTATGATACCGTAATCTGGACCATCTTCAAAGACTTCTTTTCGACAGAGAAGAGAGCTCTGAAGATGTTCCAGACACTTGCAGTCAGATGTTTAATCACCTCATTTGTATTCATTTTGCATGTTGGGATTTTTTTGAGGGAGGGAAAATGCCTTTGTTTAATGCTCAATTCTTTACTGACCTGATCAACTATATACAAACCCCACGCAAAGTCTAAAGCTGTATGAATTGTGTACCTGCATTGTTCCCACCACATTAGGTGACCTAAGGATGTTTTAAGATGCTTTTTTCAAACACTCAATGCATGAAGAGGAATTAGAATTAGCTGAGAGCAACAACGTAATTTCAACCTGGAAATTACAGTCCCTCTTTTCCTCATGCTGCCTGATTCAGACAGACATGCATCGCTGTGACTGCAATGGAGACCAGGCTACCTCCAAGCATTGAATGCAAGTGCCCATGTGCTCTGCCTTAGTTTGATCACATAATCTTTCACCTGCTTCTAATGTTTTTCTTAAGATGAAAGTTGTAACATTTCAAGAGTGAAAAGATGGAGGCAGGGATTAGCCATGGGTAACAGTAATGGTAATTTAGCTTTCTAGGTAGAAGCAAAACGTAGTTTTGGCTTTCCTTCTCTAGCAAGTAAGCATAAGCTTTGTGATACAAGATGGATGGTCCCAGGAAATAAGTTTTACAAAGGATCTTTAACAGTAAACTGAGGTCATATGCTATTAGGTATGAAAGAACGTATGTAAAGTAAAGGGGGACCATATGGCTGCAAACAAACCGTTACAAACACATAAACATTTCCTCAGGCTACAAACTTTGGTGTTATTTAAAATTCAGAACTACTGCAGCACTCTCTTACTAGTAAATGGCACCACCATTTACTACCAGAAACTCATCTCCACGTAACTCACCTCACGTAAAGGCAAGAAACTGGAAAAACAGTGCACTGTTTGACCTCTGAATAGCAACACACAAAGCACTGAAGGAGAAAAGAGACACTGTTCTACATGGTGCATAAAGACACATCCTAGCAAAAGAAATTCAAGGATCACTGCTCCTTCCTGTCCTCAGAAACTCTGAGCACTTAACCCAAGATGGCATTTTGACAGAACCCAGAACTTGGCTACATGGGCAGTCCGTAGTTTGTGACACATTAACCTATGTTAAGGGCACATGTACAAAAACCTCCAGGAAGAAGCGTGACAGGAGATGTAGCTGCCTATCTGTCAATCAGTGCAGAAACATGCCAGCAAAGAGGTAAGAATGCACCATAATGTACATCCCAGCTGACACGCACATTCCACTCCTAAGCTTGTTCTTCCCGTTTTGCAGAGCACTGGAAACATGCACATACTTTCTTAAGGCATACATTTTCTGCACACTCATGCAGGAAACCGGATAACTTGACCGTCCTCTTGTAATCCAACCCTCTGGTTAGACACACACACAATGCATCATGTCAGTCCCATTCATCTCCAGTTCTGTTTGCTCCCGCTCACTCACAACACCTCATTCATTCATTCAACCTCACTCAGAGCCATTCAGCCCTCATCTGCCAACTCCCTCCAGCACAGGCCAATTCATGCTTTTTATATACTTTATTAGGTCAAGGACTGTTTAAGTCCCAGGGTACAGGGCTCCCCCTAAAACCTGTGTAAGTCCAACTATTACTCACTAGTGAGCAACTGCTGGTTTGGTTATGCTTTACTCATGGCTATCTCCTCGTCCCCATGGCAGCCAGCATTTCCTTGTACTAGTAACTACACCTCCTGTGCTGCAGCAGTTTCAACAGCTAATTAAGTGTCCTGGACAATCTCCTGCTTATCCCGATCCTGTGAGTCTACTCCAAGGTAAGTTAACCATATCCAGCAGGCCCTGTGCTCTGCTACCACCAACTGGCAATGAACAACATATCATTGTTATTTTAAGGGATAATTTAGCTTGTATTATATATATTTCTTTCTAGTATAGCATATTTACAGCCTTTCACTGCAAATACGCTCAGTACTTCAGCTTCACTGCGTATGTGTGAACGTGCAGGAATGGAGCTGGACTTAGCTGATGCTTCAGCTGCACACTGTGGAAGGAAAGCAATGTCAAAGTCTGAACAGGAAGTTTCCATGACATTATTCATTAGTTTGTTCTCATACATGCAGAAATAGACTTTTGACTTTCACCAAGCACAATGACTTAAGTTTTTATCTGTTTGGTTTCTTTGTTGTTTTAAGCTGTGTAGCACACAGGTTGCCCACAGAGGTGGTTGTAGATGGGAAACAATCAAAAGGCATCTGGACATGGTCCTGGGCAGCTGGGTCTAAGTGGCCCTGCCTGGGGAGGGGATCTGATCCACATGATATTCAAAGGTCCTTTCCAAACTCAAACACATCTCAATTCTGTGACTTCAGTATGAATGTGGGTGTTGCTCTGGAGCAGAGATAAAGGGTACGGAGTAAAAATTCAGTGTCAAACAGAGCTGCCCTTGATAACAAATAGCTCTTACATACCACGTCCAGTGTACAAATCATACAAACCATCTCACTTTCAAAGACATATATCCTGTGTCTAATTAAATCCTTCAAAGAGGTCTTCTATTGACTTGAACTGGAAGTAGCTTAGGAATCAGTATGTTTAAGGTTATATTTGAAGCCCAGTATGATGCAAACATCCTGTAAGGATGTTCAATATTTCTGAGAGACAGGTTTAAAATACAAATGGAAAAACATTAACCCTCCTTTTCCCTTGCTCAGGCTGATGAAGGAGAGAAAAATGCCTTGACCAAAGGCAAGGACATAACAAAAAGTAAAGGAGCTTCCTGACTTCTACACTCTTTCCTCTTTCCCACTGTGCCCTGCTGCCCTACCAAAATCACCCACAATTCTAAACGCTCTCTATATTGTCATATTTAATTCCAGATTTATCACCGTCTTTAAAACAGTCAGTCTTCCACAACATGCCTCAAGGACCTGGATTCTCCTCAGTCTTTATTAGGGCAAGAAGTTCATCTGCTTTACCTGACTTTACAAATGGAAGGTAACTGACAGTGACTCCTGTCTCCTTTGGGAAAGGACCAGAATCAGTGAGAAAAATCAAAACATTTCAGATTCATACCTTTAAACACAGAATGTAAAAGGTGGCTCATTCTAAATGACCCCTTTACCACCTTCCCTAGCTTCACTGTGTACCAACGAGAAGAGTTCTCTCCTGAGAAAACTAGAAAAATCTCATTTCCAATTTTTCCATCAGCTGATCATTTGGAAAGATTTAAGAAACTTACAAACTGATGAATTCAATCCTTCAAGAGCTACAAAACTCATACTGTGTATTAAAAACAACCATACACTGAAGCACCTCACATATGTGCATCATGGATTTCTGGGCTTTAGTCCGCAGTTACCCTCCTAAACACAAAACTGGATCCTTCCATCACAAGGAACGATCTATCCTTGGTGATCCATCATATCTGTGATGGTGATCCATCATAATACTGCACATTAATGGAAACCACACACTAGTTAGGCACAGTCACCATCGAATGGTTTGGCATACCCAAGTGGGCTTGAGCTGAAACAGCTCATTGGTATCCAGTGTGGCCACGGACACATGTTCTGGCATGTTGGCTGATGCTGAATCAAATCCTGGAGACACAAGCAAGTCTTTCATTGCACCAAGACTGAAGGTAGGAAGAGGGAGAAGAGGAAGAGGGAAGGAGAGAAGGGGATGGGATATGTTCTGTCAGAGGCAGTAGACCACAAAGAACTTTCAGACACGACAGTGAGACCAGTAAGAGCTTGTTTGCCACAAATTTTAGCTACAGCATTAAAGAAAGGTTTCAGTGGACTGAAGCAGGGACAGCCTACTCATCCTTCTGCAGAGCCACTAGGTCTAGAAACATTACTTAAGCAACACAGTCAGCAAGTGCTGCGCATTTAATTCCACCAGATGGTTTCTGCAGTCATACCAGCTACACTAAATTTGAAGGTAAAACAGTTAGAGCTTTTTCTCCTACTTTAAGTGGAAATCATTAAAAAAGATCGTAATAAAAAGCATATAATCACAAACCATTTCAGTACAGATGCCTTCTCAAAATGTCTCAGAATAGGAACTGTAGAAATTCTGCTCCCTTACTAAGGTTACAGTAGAAAAAATTCCCAACTGATGATCTGTAACAGGCAAGAATTTGCTGAACAGTACTTTTTTCAAGCAAAAACTAAGCACCTGCAAAACTCATCTTACACCAGTTTGATTCTTGGATGGTTATGTGAAGAGAGTATCAGGAATCATCCCTTGCTAATCATCCTGAAAGTTGTAAGTCATGACTTGAGGTCCTGCTGTACCACATCAAGAACACCCAAGTGCTAGGAAATGCAGTATATTCAGAAAGCTTACCATGCTGGGAGGGATTCCTGTTTGTGACATCTAATTTGTCATGGAAGCCAGGACTCCTGCCAAGCCCTTCCACGTCTACATCAAGGCTGGTGAAGCCATTTACTTGATTCCTGTCCCTTGTGACAGTGTTAATGCGGGTCGGGATAGGTTCAAACGTAGGGTCTAACTCCAAGATCAGCCTGTTCAGTTGTTCAATGGACTGATCAATATCCAAAGTTGGAGAAGCTGGCAAGTCCCTTGCATTCTGTCCTAGATCCAGGCTATTTGTGTCCCTTTGAGGCACTGGCATTGACTTGAAGCTCTCAGCACTGGCATGTTCTGCAGCTTCAGCAGCCCCTGGCATGCTTCCTAGCCCCCTCTGTACAGCAGCTCTGCTGCTGGAATTACGTGTTGGGGTGTCCGGGGCTCGGGACTGGCTCTGGACACTGCCTGCGTTCTCCACCGTGTTATGAATGCCAACACTGATTTCATTCTCTGGGGCAAAACCATATTGGTGAGCAGTGACCATCTGCTGCTGGCGCACCCAGGTCTGAGTAGAATAGTTACTTGGGCCATAGGCTTGAGGCTGGGGTGAAACAGAAGGATTCCGTTGTAACTGCTGAGTTGACTTTGGCTCGGTGCTTCCAAATGTCCTCTCATAGAGGGGATCCACACCAATTCCCAGGTCTGGAGCAAAAACATTGTGGTGCTCTTCCCCAGCGTTACTTCCAAAGCCATCTGAAAGAAGTGAGTTCTGACTGCTCTTGTGGCAACTGAAGTTCCCTAAGTGGGTGGAGTGCTGCCCTTCTGAGGAAGACAAAGTCCCAATGCTGTCCACACTGTGAAGGTCATGATTAGGCATTTCATCATCCAGAATATCAGTCTCCCTGTCCTTCAGTTTGGTGTCTCCATTCATATGAACTTGAGCTGGCACTATGTGGTGAGTCCCACTGTACTTGCTTCGAACATCAGTCATATCCTTGGTGGTGTTGACAGAATCCTCCAGACCAAAGCCACTGAGTAGCTGGTCCAGTTCTGCCTTCTCCTGTGGGCTCAGACCCCGTTTGACTCCAGGCACAAGGCGCTCTTCAGTCTTGTCTGTCCTGGTGGAAGCTGTTGAGTGTCCTGAATCACTGCTGACAGACAGCGTATGATCACTGTGATCAGGACTGCCAGTCACGGGAACACCCTGAGCAACACCACGGATGCTGCTGTCAGAAGAGCTCTTCTTTCTCACTTTGGCATACAGACTGCCATCAATGGGACCTTGGGTATGCAGCACTGTGGAGAGAGAAGTATGAGGCATTATACAAGGGCTTTCACTGGTGTCATACCACAAAACAGAAGTACCAGAACTAATGGTATTGCTTCTGCAAAACTAAATTAGCCTTACAAATACAGTATCAAGCAGTGGCATTATCGTCTTTCATTTTATATTTCAACTTATAACAGTTTTCTTGATAGAAATAAAACATGCCATTCATAGTTCAAGATCAAGTACAGTTTTCTTTTTATGCTGTTTTGAATGTATGTTTAAAACTCCACAAACTCTTCACACTCATTTGAAGAATTACCCTGTTACAGTGCTAGAATCTGAGAGGCAGCTTACCATACATTCCACTCAAAGCAAGAATGGTTCAATGCTTGCCTTGAATGTATTATGCAATTACCAGTTCATCCATTTCTACCTGATGGTCTAACTACACTACAAAGAATCATTTACTCATTTTCTTGGTGGCACAAGGAAAAAAACAGGCTTTCAATCAGAGCTTCTGTCCTTGGAATATATGTTAAGGCCCCTTCACAAAGGCATGTACGAGGAAATGTTAGACAATGACATTTCTCTGTGTGTGGAGGATCTGGTGTGCATTTCACAGCTCAACAAGGGCCACAATCCCTTAAAAATCAGAATATATCTCCTTCCTCATCAATGATGGGAAGAACTTAACTTTATTTCTGATCTCTGAGGTACTCCCTCAACTGAAGTTTATGAATAACCATTCATAATAAATATGGGCTAGAACTTTCTTTTCTATTTAGAACATATTTAGAAAATACCACAACTTTGCAGGAAAATGCATCTAGTTTACTAAAGCTATGTGTTGAGAACAGACAAATTCGTGCTTTCAGATGCATGAGCATCACTTAGTACGCTTCACTGGCACCAGCTATGTACAGAACTAGGTAAGCCAAGTTTTACCTTACAGGTAATTCAAGTGGAGAGCTTCACTGAAGTGACTATACTGCTTGTGATCACTGACCTGTTCCTGGCACCCATGAACCTTCCTGCTTCTTTCTATCTTGAGACATACAGCCTGCATGTTTTTAATCTATTTATTTTCTGTCCTGATGCAGACACCAGCCCATCTTACAGTTATGATTTATGTGGTATTTCAGTACTACCAGCACTGGACATGGTTAAAACCACAGAACACCGAGTACAGCAATTAACCTCTGGAACACTTCAAAAGCTCAAGAGTTTATTTGAACCCAGCTTATTTTAGGCAAACCACTTTTTCTTGCCTCTGCCTATTAGGGCTTTTTAAAGCTCTCCTTGACATGATAGCCCAAGAAGACGACATGAAGACAGCATATAGGAGGCATATTCTTACAATCCTTTACTGAACTTGTTTGTCCAGCTCCTACACACCTCACACAGGTCAGAACAACCTGAGGTAGAGTTTGGCTACTGGGGTCTTACCCAGGGCTGAAAATGAACACAATTCATTCTGGTTCTTATGAAAAGCTTTAGGAGTAAATATTTCTACTGTTTGCCAAGCCAAGAAAGTGAAGTCAGTGCTTCTACTTTCCAAGGATTTAATGTTCATTTACCAAAACATTCCTGTTAAGCAGAAGTTACTGAGTAACTTTTTCTACCCATAGTTTGAGAATTGTTTGCTGATAAAAAGAAAGTAGACCATTAGAATCGAGGAACAGGCAGATTTTTGTCAAAGGTAACCACCAGCTTAGTCTCCATCTGTGCGCTCCACAATCAGAAGAGCCCTGGAGAGCCCAATGTATTTCAACATCAACTCTACCACGTATTTTGGAAATACACTTAAAATGGCATTGTGATCATGAAGCTTCCAAACTAGGAAGCTTTTCCAGGCAATAGCATCTTAGAAAAAGCATTATTCACTTATTCACAAACTGAACCCATGATGGCAATGAATTCATCAGTTTACAATGGCAAGAAAAGTGGTCTGGCTGGAAAAAGCCATCATTATGGGACACACTGCCAAGTTTCCATCAGTTCAAATACCCACATACTGGAAGTTATGCGATAGGTTTAATAGATTTTAGCTAATAATTAAGGGACAACTTCTTACTTTTCAAGGATTATGTCCTGTTACTTGTCTGATGTTGATTTTAAAAACAGCACATGCAGAAGACCAAAATGCTCCTTTTCAGAACAAGCCATCAGGCTAGGCAGAAAAGAAAGCAATTCCTCTTGCAATGGAATTTCTCTGCGGGCAAACTGTTCCAAGTTCACTGAGGTTTATGATGTGTAAATCCCACAGTGAAAAGAGCTGCTGTGCATGAGGCTGAATGTCTCTGCATAGATATTTAAAAGCAGTATTTACGAAAAAATACCATATCTAAGGAAAACACAGCCAGTTGACAGGTTCTCAGCCTCTTTCATGCTGTGATTTCTCATAAGTTCTCACTACTGCTAGGGCAATGAACCATACTTGGTGTTTTATGTGGAATTACTTCATACAGTTACCATAAGACATTGCAAGAATAAATTAAAAACCAAACAACCAACCAAACCCTCCCCCTAAAACACAGTAACTCTTAAGTGATTTTGTTTTTCTTTTCTGTGTGCTTAGCTTTGAGCTTAAAAGCTAGAAAACAATACCAAACTGCTTTGTTTTGTATAGTTTAATATCCTGAAACAAAAGAGACTTGAAGTTACAGGTCTGAACTGGAATGCAGTTCAGTAAATATAGGACTAGTATACTTGAACCGTTAAGAAGTCTTTCTGACTTTTCTGTTACCCAGAACTAGGCACAGCGCAGTAAATCCTTCAAACCTGCTGGTCTGCTGCAAACACTTCCCACCAGATGAAACATTCCAGCATACAGGTTTGGTTCACCATACAGAAATTTTAAGTACAAGATCTCTTCTCCCAAGGAACAAGGGACAGGACAAGAGGAAACGGCCTCAAGCTGTGCCAGGGGAGGTTTAGATGGAGCTGAGGAACAATTCCTTCCCCAGAGGGTGCTCAGGCATTGGAACAGGCTGCCCAGGGCAGGGCTGCAGTCACCGTCCCTGCAAGTGTTCACACAGCGTGGAGACGAGGCCTCAGTACCATGGGTTAGTGGTGGCCTTGGAGTGCTGGGAACGGTTGGACTGGGTGAGCTTAAAGGGCTTTTCCAGCCCAGCTGATTCTATGACCTGTCAAATTCTCAGATACAGCTATGGAAGCAATGTAAAACACTGGTGCACCTCCCTCTGTCAGCCCTCCCTGTACCATCACACAGTGCCATCTAAGCACAGCAACAGTGGTACAGACTGGATGGACAGTAGATGGACAACAGAAAACAGAAAATGAAACAGAAACAACAAACCTACAGTCACATAAATTATAAACCTCACTAACTGTTCATCTCTTCTATGTTTCTATTTTAAACATCTGTACAGTATCTCTATACACAAATCGGGAAATATGCAAAAAATAATTCCTCAGTGTATTTTAATGCTGTTAGGAACCTTCAGCAGTAGTAACCTTTTTGCTACAGCCTGGTCCCTGTTCAAATTAAAATCTCTGAAATTTGAGATGCTCCTAAGATAACCAGAGGAAGCCATGAGGATCCACAGGAGCTGGAGCACCTCCCATACAAAGACAGGCTGAGAACATTGGGGCTGTTTAGCCTGGAGAAGAGAAGCTGCATGGAGACCGCAGAGCAGCTTCCAATGTCTGAAGTGGGCTACAAGGATGCTGGAGAGGGACTCTTCATCAGGGACTGTAGTGATAGGACAAGGGGTGATGGGTTCAAACTGAACCAGGGGAAGTTCAGGTTAGATACAAGGAAGAAGTTCTTTACTATGAGGGTGGTGAGGCACTGGCACAGGATGCTGTCCTGGGTTCAGCAGTAGCAGTCATTTTTCTCCTTCTTAGTAGCTGGTGCAGTGCTGTGTTTTTGAAGTGAGAAATGGTAAATGCTTCCAAAGAAGTGTTAAATGCTCCATCCCTGGCAGTGTTCAAGGCCAGCCTGGACAGAGCCTTGGCTGACATGGTCTAGCGTGAGGCATCCCTCCCCATGGCACAGGCTTGGAACTGGATGATCTTAAGGTTTTTTCCAATCCAGACCAGTCTATGATTCTATGACTAGAACCACTTTGTACAGCAGCTACTGACTGTGAGTTGTCTGGGGTTCCCCATTACTACATATGCTAATGAATCACACAGCCCTGTCAGCACTGAACACCACAGCAGAAGGGATGTTAACTGCATACTAGCATCCCTGTGAAATATTCTGACACCATAAAACTGGCATCTAGGTTTTGTGACATTCAGTGTCTCACACCATTACCTCAGTTGCTACTATCTAGAATGCCAGTAGATTAAAAAGCCTGTACTGTGGACTTGAGTACTATCTTACTCAGCATCAGCCTGTATTCATAATCAAGACAACAAGCCTAGGTAAACCACTTAGTAAGAACTTCACAATGAAAGAAACTAACAGCTTGAAATATTTCATACACCCTGCATTATTATCTGATAAATTCAGATTATCTAAACTGGAAGAAAATGCATATACATGAGAGGACAACCAAGAACTCAACTGGACTAAATAAGCAAACAATTTACCAGGATTCCCAGTACTGCACAACCCATTTAAATGTGAGCTCCCAGCTATATAAATAAGTAATTTTAAATGCATGATCACAGAACCACAGAATGGTTCAGGCTGGAAGGGACCTTAAAGCTCATCCAGTTCCAACCCCCTGCCATGGGCAGGTATACCTTCCACAAGACCAGGTTGCTCAAATGGGAATGTAATCAGTAAAGCATGGGATATAGATGCAGATGTCCTACTCAGGTATCCATATACTGAAAGTCTGGTCCACTTCACAAATCCTTAAGGCAATTTCTCAAAGCAGTGGCTCCCCAGTCAGAGGCTGCACCAGCCACAAGCAGGATGGTGAGCCTAAAACCCTACTTCTGGTATTTATACTAGAGCTTGAGGAGCTGTACCTGTGTACAAGTGAAACAAGAAACAGAAATGTCTGGGACCTGATGACTTTTGGTTGTGAATTTAAAGATGATGACA